TGGCACAGAGGAGCATTTAGTCATCTGAAATGGTACAGCTAGGACTGAAACCAGGGACTGGCTTCCTCAAATAGCTGCTGAGCGGGGAGCTAGTACCAATTTCTCCCACCTCATTTTCTCCACCCCCTCCTCAGAGACAGGGGACAGAGAGTGAAAACAGTTAATATCTGCTGATCAAAAATTTGTTTGCCACAAAAAAATAGCATGGAAGTGAACGGCAATGGCTCTTAGGAGCAATTGCTGCCACTTAGAAAGAAACTTAGGGACGTGGTGGTGCTGTGGGCTAAACCTGAGAAGCCTTTGTGTGCTGCAGGGTCAGAAGACCAGCAGTCTTCTGACCCTGCACGCGACGGAGTGAGCTCCCGTCGTTTTGTCCCAGCTCCTCGCCAACCTAGCAGTATGAAAGCATGTAAATGCGAGTAGATAAATAGGTACCATTTCGGTGGGAAGGTAAACAGCATTCCGGGTCTAAGTCGCGCTGGCCACGTGACAACAGAAACTGTCTTCGGACAAACACTGGCTCTACGGCTTGGAAACGGGGATGAGCACCGCTCCCCAGAGTCGAACACGACTGACTAAAAAATGTCAAGGGGAACCTCTACCTTTTTAAAGAAAGAAATAGCAGGAGGTAGTATTGTCAGGTTTCAGGGTGCCAGCTAAGAGCCAAGGAACTGCTATGCTTCCCTGGGTCTCCAGGTAAAGAAACAAATCTCAGGGTGAACAGTACTAGAAGAAGAAAGATTTTGAATTTATCTCTGTGAAGGCTTCAAAGCCTGGCATTCATTTCCTCTTCACCCCCAAATGAGACCAGGGCTTAAAAGCTCAGTATAGAGGTTATCTATATGAGTGCTGCATGCTTAATATTTGTTTAGCAGCTAGTGCAGGAGTGTCACACTTTCTCCAATGCACACACACACAAGACACATATTATTTTGCAGCTGTTGTTCAAAGGCGCACTTTCCATGACATCCTGAGGACCTATCTCTAATCTCAGGTTTTGTTTCTTAACTATCAGGGACTGGGAAACTTTTAAACTGGCAACACCTGAAAGGTGATGGCATTGCTTTGCCCTTGCAAACTGTTTGCTTTGAGTCAGCCACAAATGATCAAGGAGCAATAGCTGCTAAAAGCAGCTGCCACGTTGAGCACACTTGCCCCCTTTTCTATGCCATTTCTGTGGCTACTGGTCTTACTTACAATAGCCACCTGTCCATTTGAATGGGTGAGCATGTATCCGAAGCTGCATGACAAACACTTCAAATACTTTATTGCTTTGTAGCCAATCAGGCTATAAGCAAGAACATACGTAGATGAAACAGTATTTGTATCTCATGTAAGTACATATAAAGAAGCATTAAAAGCATAAAATGATAACGTAATAGTAATAAAATATAATAAGCATTCTCAAAAAAATGAATCAAGACGTGAGATGAACTTGAAGAACTTATGAAGCAGTCAATAAGTTCCATCTCTCCATGACCTGTTTAACAAATTTAGCAGTCATATAGGATATATAGTAGTTTGTGGCAGCTAGCAGGGACAAGACTGTGCATAAAGGGGACATGTTCTTGATCCCAGCTGTTAAAGGCTTTATATATTGGTCCCTCAGATCTCTGTACAGAGGACATTCTGTTAGAAAGTGTACCATGTCTTCCATTTTAAAGCATCCTGCTACGCAATGTGCGACTGTACCATGTTGATCCATGTAACATCCCTGAATCTCTTTGAACTGTAATGAGTTCAGTCTGCGCCTTGTTAACAGTTGCCTCAGCTCATGTGAGCTAATAAGAGACAAATAAGAGGACAACTTTTCAAAAGGCAAAGAAAAGCCCTCGAATATCCTACTGGAGCGGCAACAGACTACAGATGCCATGCTAGTCTGGTTATCAATACCATATACTCTTTTAATGGTATCTTCTTGGGCAGTCTCATATCCCCTCCTATGGAGGTAGACTGGGGAATAACCCAGCTTTGCTATAATTGTGGATATCTTAGATGCCCAAGAGTCCCTTCCCATTTCTTCATAGGCCAATAAGGCCAGAAGTGATGCCATATGGTACATTATCTTATTCTGAAACAGTATGGCTGTTTCCATACTGTTTCCAGATTTTTCTTTCTTGGGCTCCATGATCACTGCAGATGGGGACAGCAGCCACGAAATTAAAAGACGGCTGCTTCTTGGGAGGAAAGCGATGACAAACCTAGACAGCATATTAAAAAGTAGTGACACATAATCAAAGCTATGGTTTTTCCAGTAGCGATGTATGGAAGTGAGAGCTGGACGATAAAGAAGGCTGACCGCCGAAGAATTGATGCTTTTGAATTGTGGTGCTGGAGGAGACTCTTGAGAGTCCCCTGGACTGCAAAGAGAACAAACCTATCCATGTTGCAGAAATCAATCCTGAGTGCTCAGTGGAAGGACAGATCCTGAAGCTGAGGCTCCAATACTTTGACCATCTCATGAGAAGAGAAGACTCCCTGGAAAAGACCCTGATGTTGGGAAAGTATGAGGGCAAGAGGAGAAGGGGACGTCAGAGTACGAGATGGTTGGGCAGCATCATCAAAGCTACCAACATGAATCTGACTGAACTCTGGGAGGCAGGAGGGCCTGGCGTGCTCTGGTCCATGGGGTTACGAAGAGTTGGACATGACTTAACGACTAAACAACAAGAAAAGCATAATGTCTCACAGCGGACTGTGGCCATGAGAGTTAGATAATCACTTGCTCTTCATGTGGGAAGATATGGGGAGGAAGCTTTCAACACTTGGAGGTGGCTCTGGGCACAACTCTGCCACAGGCTTATACAGGCTTAGTGAGAACTAGAAATACGTAGCTGGAATAGGGCAAGTAGTTTTTGGAGCTGATGTTGTCTTAGTCTGTGTATAAGGTCAAGTGTAAGCATATCGACTGCTGACACAGCGTCAAACTTAAAAGGAAGGAGACTTTACTCCAAAATGTAGGAGTTTTTGCAAGTATGAATCTGAATGCTGCAAGACTTTCAGAGCTGAAGAAAAGCGGGGAGGGGGAGGGGGCAGGAATAAAAATAAAAGCAGAACAGATAAAACGGATTTCTAAGTAGCTCTTGGCTAGGACAAGAGGCTGTAGTCAGAAGCAGAAATTCTCGGATGAAGTGCCCCCAGGTTGATCCATGAGCCACCACTGACGTAAAGATATTAAGAAATAGCCTATTTCCTACTCTGCTAAAGGTTGCTCTATATTGCAATTGAGATACAACAGCAAAGGTGTGGGAATGCCTTTGCTGTTCTTGCCTTTATAGAAGTTTATTTATGGATAAAGTGCTTATTTATGGATAAAAGGTATTCTAGCCTCCAGCATTTCAACAGTCTTTCATGTTCTATGAACCTTAAATTTTTCATTTCTAACTTTTAAAACAATAACAAGAGCAAAGATTTATTGGTCTAAGTAGTAGTAATCATGACCCCCCCCAAAAGTAATAAATCACCTATGTTGGCCTGGAACTTATACTTCTCAGCTACAAATCACTGTCTTTAACTCTTAAACTGCTTATGCCAACCTGCTAAAAACCTGGCTGATATCCAATGAGAAAAATTTTACTATTTAAGTGTCTTTTAATATAATATTGTCTAGTTCAGCATTAAAAAACTCCAAAACAGCACAAAATCCAAAAGCTGGACTATTTGCAACCATTTTTTTACAACTAATTCTTTTCTGTTTTTAGTGGTTACAAAGGAAACAAATGTAGATATCATTTTCTCTCTATGCTTTTCCAATTAGTAAGTGTTAATTACTGGACAAAATTCAGTATTTCTTACCTTAGCTTTCTAAATGAATTCCTTCTAATTCAAATGTAATGCCTGCTCAATTATTCTTTAAACAATCAATGGCATATTACTATAGCATATAGAAAAAGTATTTAATCTCCAACTCATACTGTAGTTTATCTTTCCCAAAATGAATTTAGATGAATTTTAGGATTAGGCTGCTTCCCCTACTTCTTAAGCACATTTAAGAAAATCAGAAGCTTTCATTTCCATTTTTCATTAATGACAATTTGTCGCTTCATCCAAATCTGGATCAACTGTGGTTGAGCCTATGTCATATAAGAGATCATCTAACTCAAGTGTTCTGTGGAGGCTCCGTAGAACCGGATGAGGCTACAGCATCCTTTGCTGCATCTGGCATCTGTTTACACACTCCAGTAAAGGACAATCCTTACAACCAAAGGCAGTTTGCCCCAGTATAAGTTAGATAATAGAAATGTGAATAACTGCTGTTGCAAACCAGAAACATGTATCATATAGTGAAAACAATTGTTTGTGTTGGTGGTGAGCTTCCTTCCTTCTTCTTACTCTGTTGGTCATGAATAGAAATGGTGGTATTCATATAAAAATACAAATATCCCCATGCAGCTGGAGTTAACGGGTCCAGTCCCTGGGGCCAGACTGTCCACTCACGCCTCGCTCATCCTTCTAATCACTCCTTCCCTGGGGCCAGACTGTCCACTCACGCTTTCAACCATGGCAGCCGCCTCAATCATCCTTCTAATCACTCCCGAAGCCCCGCTCTCCTCCTGTTCGGCTGGCCATGCGTCAGCTGTGCAGAGAGACTCATTAAGTCCAGCTGTGTGGGGATATTCATATTCAAATACCCCCATCTCTAGTCATGAGTAGAACGTGGAACATTACTGTTATAAAGTACTGTTAAAAAACTGTAATGATCTGTTACTGTTACAATGTTTAAAAATTAACTTGTTATTTTGCTCATTCCTTTTCCTCTATGTTTTTTTTTAAAAAAACCTTAGGCTTCATAAGAGAAAATTTTACTCCTTACACCAAAACAAATATGGATTAGGACAGGGTCTTCACTTTTGCTATGACTGTGATTAAGCCTTCTGATCTACTGTCTCTTCCTTCTGCCTGTGAAAATTAAAAGACCATCTGGGTTTATTAAAGACCTTTAGTACAATAATCACATCCCATAGACCTCATCACGATGCTATTATAAAAAGCATTCTTACCTTTTGTTTTAGAATTAGTTTTGACACTCAGATTTCCACTGAGACTTGATAAAGACGCCAAGATGCAGGGTTTACTAGGATGTGGACGAGTTTCCATTGAAACTACTATCTGAGCAGTGTGGACAGAAATTTTCTGACAGCAGGACATGTCCATCCAAAGGTTTTCTTGAGTTGAACCTGTTTGCCGTCCATCACTGCTGTCCTCGGAATCAGAAATTCTGTTTTGGTAATGCTTAAATGGTAATGTGTCCTCTTTCTTCAGAAAACTATCACTTGTTGAAGCGTTGTCCTCCTGGGTCTCATAATCACTTCTGATCCTTTTCAAAAATTGTTTTACTTGATCTAGTTTGACAAAGCTGATATTAGCTTTTAGAGGCTTCGATATATCAATATTCACCTCAGCTGTGAAGCAAAATTAAAAGAAAAGAAAAAAGAGAAATTGTTGCAATCTCATCCAAACAATAAAAAGAATGTCATCCAAACAATGATGTGCTAGAATGAAAATTTAATTAAAACACTTTTAAAGTAAGGAATAATGTGGTTTTCAACTTGAGTTTGGCATAAAGAACTTTCTCACAATTTGACAGTACTGTATCCAAGACAAACATAACATTCCTATTCTTTTACAACTGGGAGAGGAGATTTTTCCAATTGCTTTGAACTGCTCTTACTTCTCTTACAAATTCTTCTCTCCTGTACAGTGTCTGTTCACAAGTCATACAGTATTCAACTAAGTGTACACAGGATAGCCGTCCAAATCTAGCAATAGCCAATGTCCTCTTGTTTGGTGTAATAAATCATACAAAAACAGGCCCACTGAATCAAAGGGGATTTGATGAGTCACCTCCACTGTAAATCCCATTGATTCAAATGAGTCAGAGAGCATGGACAGAGTTCCTACTCCAGTCCTCTGAAGATGCCGGCCACAGAGACTGGCGAAACGTCAGGAAGAACAACCTTCAGAACACGGCCAAAGAGCCCGAAAAGCCCACAACAACCATCAGATCCCATCCGTGAAAGCCTTCAAGAATACAAATTCTGCAATGCCTTACCAAATGCTTTTATAATTGTACAATAGTTAGATTGAAGTTTCCCAGCACAGGAAGATTATTTTACACAAGCTGGGATTTTTGAAAGTAAAACTATGAAACAGAAATAGGATAACTCAATTAATGTGCTTTTAGTTCTACCCCTATTGATGAGAGCAACAAAATTTTAATTATTTTAAGGGAGCAGGATTGCAATATTTGATAGTTCTACCTGCTATCCACTGACTTTTGCTCTGCGAAAATGAAACAATATACAACTGTTTAGTATGCAACAATAAAATAAATATAATAAATAAATAAAACAAAAAGAACAACAAAAGTATTCTGATAGCTCTAATACAGATTTATTTCTGTTTGAAATTTTGTGAATTGCAATCCAGTTCCTTTGACACATGCAATAAAATATTCAGCCACAGGTCTAAATATGTTTCCGAAGAAGTGGATTATAATCTGCAACAATGTACACTGAGATAAATATAATGGTCTTCAGTGTTGGTCTTTGTGGCACCACAATATATTTGTATTCATGTTTGTTTTATATGTTATAAAAGAAATATATTTGTTAAAAATCTTTTGAAATCAATGGTTCATTACAACAAATTTACAACAATTTATCTTTACATGAACTTTACTCCATGCACATTATCTGTACTAATATAATGATAATGGCAAATGATAAAGAGTTTTTTAAAGCTAACATTTGACTTCTTCCCAGCCACTCTGAAATATTTCAAACATAGAATTATTTCTGTTTTTTATTGGTTTATTTTCTTATGGCATTGTTAACAATTTAAGACTTTCTACAAATGAGAAGAAATATTAATTCTGGTGCTGAAGATGATAAAGATGTTGTTGATAATGATGTATAGGGAAGCATCACACTGATCATAACATAATTACATAGAAGTATCACTATTTTCTATGCAGCTTGATATAATTACATTTTTGTCTTGCCTTTTTTTCTAAAGTAGGGCCGGCTTCTTGTGGCCTTTCAGATACTGCTGGACTACAACACCCACCAGCACCAGCTGCTATAACTAATGGTGAATGAAGTCCAGCAACAAACAAAAGACAACAAAATGTTAACCTCTCTTATCTAAGGAGCTCAACCCTCTCTCTCTCTCTCTCCCTCCCCCGATTTTAATTTAACAGCTGTTTGTAATATAAATTAAGCTGGAGCCGGTGGCTGGCTCAAAATCATCCAGTGAGGTTCATGGCTAAGTGGGGATTTCAGCTTGGGGTTTCCTAACAATAACTGCTATACCACACTAGTTTTGGCCACAGTCCTACATCCTAAAACATAAAGGGTTTGGAGTGAAGGGGTCTTTAATTTTGCATATATGATCCCTGGCCATTTGAGTGTTCCTGTGCTTTGGAGTTTTTGTTTGTTTTTGCTAGAAAAAAGAAAATGCTGCTTTAACATGGAATGAAGGGAATAACTGCATAGCTAAGCAACTGTGGAAACCAAAGGCATATACTGGTTGTTGTGGGTTTTTCAGGCTCTTTGGCCGTGTTCTGAAGGTTAGGACAAAAGCTGTTCCCACAACTATAAATACTCAACTATCCAACAAACAGCAACAGAGCATGGACAGAGTTCCTACTCTAGCCCTCTGAAGATGCTGGCCACAGAGACTGGTGAAACGTCAGGTCAGGAAGAACAACCTTCAGAACACGGCCAAAGAGCCCGAAAAACCCACAACAACCATTAGATCCTGGCCGTGAAAGCCTTCGTAAATACAAAGGCATATACTGGTTAACAGTTTCTTATGTATGCTCCAGAGACTTTGCTGAGCCTGAGACATAAGCAAAGCATTTTAATTTGGGATACAATTACATTTATTTTTTAATTACTCACTAGAAGACACTTTTTTCAAGTTAGCATTAATGATTCCAACTCTACTTTCAGGATTATTATGCTTTTCTGTATATTAATATTACGTTAATTCATGATATCACTGATGCATCTCTAACTGCTATTCTAAATCTTCCAACATATACAATGTTGGGGGAAAAAGTACGGCCACTGATGAAAAAAAAGGAAATAACAGAAACTAAATGAGGTTTATTGTATGTTCAGTTGTGAAGTGCTCACAATTAAACACTGAAATGCTAGAGGTTAAACTGCAATAATAAGCAGCAGAAATATCTTAACAGTCTAGCAGACTACCCCCATCCCATCTCTCTTTCAGCCAAAAAACTATTCTACTCATTCAATCCTAAAATTCCTCACAATTTCTGAATGATCCCTTAAATAATTTCCTTGCTTCCTGTAGCTCAGCTCCCTCTATTACCCAAACGTCAAGAGCCACTGGCCTTACTAACAGTGTGAGAGCATTAGCATGGTGAGATAAGGTGGGGAAGAAGGGGGTGGAATTCCTCCTTCCAGATTTTCTACTGTTGCTGCTGCCACTTTCCTGCTTTAATCTAAGTAAGGGAAAAGGTAAGCGTTATTTGGAGACTGGCAGATGGAACAATATGTTTCACAAGCAACTTAGACTGGGCTTGCAAATCTACATATTTGCTTTGGACTCTTGTGGGCTGGGGAAAACATTGTACGTAGTCTAGAGTCCCTTCTCAACACCAAGAATCCTTTTCTTCCTCTCTGTTTGTCTGCTTCTTTCTTTCAGACACACTTGAGCCACAGCACACCACAAGAATAATTATAGGGGAAACTTCCAGTTATTCGTATTCTTCTGTTTTTTAATCTGAGAAGTTAAAAGTTAATTGGCCGTCTTTTTTTATGCCTGCTGTCTTGTCAAAAAGATAGCTCCATGAGAGCAGTGGATAGTCCCTGAGAAACAACCATTTTGGAACACCAATCCTTGGACGTCATCATTTTTATTTATTTGTTTGTTTGTTTATTGGATTTCTATTCCACCCATCTAGACCAAAGGTCTACTCTGGGCGGTTTACAAATTGAAAAACAATAAAACCAAAGCCATGTAGGTCCAAGATGGCAAAGTATAAGAAATTAAGAAATGATAGACTAACTGTTATAGGATATTTCTCAAATGTCAGGCATGCCACCTCCCTCACCCAATGAAGTTACAGTTTACTTTGTTTTCCATCAGAAAGCAACTATTCCAGAATGTGTTTTTTAAATAGGAAAATGAAATGAATTTGAGAATGTATGCTCACAAACGCAAGTGTTGACTCCAGGTGCTGTGAAAAGGTTGCCTCAGTATACATGAAGATTTCACATGTACATAATCAGAGAATAATATAATTGTAAATCTGGTAAGGGACTCCAAGGACAATTGACTGCAAGGAGTTGAACCTCCTGCCAAAGAAGTAAATCCATATGTAAGTAATTCCTCACAAATGACCAAGCAACTTCTGTTTAATAACCTTCAATCAAAGAACAAAAATCCATCACCCTTTGAGGTAGTCTGGTTTACTGGATAGAGTTGATTAGCTCTTACTGTCCAGAAATTCTTCCTAATATTTAGATGAACTCTCCTTTCTTGTAATTTGAATCCTGTCCTACCCACTGGAGCTATAGAAAACAAATTTGTTCCATCTTCCACAAGATAGACAGGCATTCAAAAATTGAAGACAGCTATCATATAACTTAGCCTTCCAGCCTGAACATGCCCAGATTCCTCAGCCTTTCCTTGTATTGTTTCCAGGCCTTTTACTATGCTGGTCAACTTCCTATGGATACATTTCACCTTGTCAATATTGTTTTTAAACAGTGGTGGCTAGAACTGGATACAGTATTCCAGCTGAGATCTGACAAAAGCAGAATGGAGTAGTACTAGCACTTCCCTTGATCTGGACACTACCTCTTTTGATCCAACTAAGCATTGTATCTGCTGTTTCTGCTGCTGTATCACATTGTTGGCTCATATTTAGCTTGGGTCTTCTAAAATCTCATGATTTTCTATGATGTTGATTATTTTTTATTTGTTTTTGATTACTGTTGCTGCTGGGGGGTGGGTGGGTTTCCCCCAAATTATATTTCTTTGGTTGTGGGTTGGATTTTTCATGTTTTTATCTCTGTAAGCTGCCCAAAGTAGTGGCATGCCACTAGAGGTAGGATAAAAACAAACAAACAAACTCCTAAATACTTTTCACATGTACTACTGTAAGTCAGCTGCATCCATTGTATATTTGTGTACTTGTGCAGATATACACGTTATTATTTCTCTTGTTGAAACTTATGTTGTTTGTACTGGCCTGGTTCTCCAACCTGCATAGTTAATCTTAAATCCTGATTCTGTCTTCTAGAGCAGTGGTCCCCAAACTTGGGCCTCCAGATGTTCTTGGACTGCAACGCTCAGAAGCCTTCACCACTACCTCTGCTGGTCAGGATTTATGGGAGTTGAAGTCCAAGAACATCTGGAGGCCCAA